CATATCCTTCTTCACATTGATAACAATATGGTTCATTTCCAAATTTACATATATTTTGTACTATTTGACATTCATATTGTGAATTAAGATAACACCCATATTCACATTTAAGTCATTCTCTCAGTTCTTCGGGATAAATACCTTTTATCATAATTAGCATATCAATTTTTATCTCATATATTTCATTTCATTCGAATAGTCATTATTTGAATTTTATGTATTCTTGTTCATGAAAATTCTACAATAATTAAATATGTTACTTGTTTTAATGAAGAAATAATTACTGATGAAATTGAGTTGTTACTATCTTTTACTTCTTTAATTAGTGTTGTTGTTAATTTAATTAGTTGTTAATTTGTCAATTTAAATTCAATTCTTTAAGATGACTCCTTATTTCTATAAATGTTGAGAGTTATTTGAATTGTATATTCATATTTTAACTATTGATTATGACATGTATAAACTGTATTGGTCTTTGACAAAACATAGTTATTTATAATAATATAGTTTGTTAATTGTAATTGATAATAAATATTTGAAAAATATAGTAACAGTAACTATATCTGAATTAAAATCTTCTTCATATATTGAAAATTTATTATTACATTTCATTGTTACTTAATAAATTTTAATATTATTAACACTAAAATGAAGAATTATTCGATTACATTATTGAATGAAATATTCAATATTTATTGGAATTGATGTTATTTGATTGGATTTTCATGCATATAATTATATTATATACCATATCCCATTATTTGATTCTAATTTTTAATTTGATATGACTTGAATTAATATAAGTACGTTGAATAAGTAAATAATACACATGGTGATAATTATCACATAACCTAACTGATAACGCATCAACAATATCATTTATTCTTGTTTGACTATTTCCATTGTAAAATCAAATTAAAGTTTAATATTTATTTTAATTAGTATATAAGGATAGTATTAATTTTAGAAATTCTTTATTCTATTTGTATCATAACATTCTTTGATTTAAATGTTTATCTATTTCACAAAATAAAATTGTCCAATATGAACATAAAATTGGATAACAACTAATAAATAGTTAAAATAATATCCAATGAATTTATTTGAAGTTGAATTAATATATGTACAATTTACACACGTTATGATCTTATTTTCATTATCTACATTACATTATAACAATACAAAATGAAATAACAAAGAATAACTAAAAAGTAGTTCAATATAATTAAGTACTTTATTGCATAAATTCTGAAACAAATATGGTTTATTATTTTTTTTAAAGGAATAATTCTTCTTATTTAGTCCCAGAAAAATAATAAACATAAACAACAGAAAAGAAAGAGAAGAGAGGTGTAATAAAAAATTATTAACAATAAAAAGCAATAAATATAAAAAAAGATAAAATAGTAAAAAAAATATATTATTTTGTAATGCTATTTTATAATGTATTTATAAAAAAATGTATCTTATATTGAACTAAATTTTAAAGAAAAATATAATTAATAATATTAACAAATAACACTCAAATAATCCATTCATAAATAATTTCATTTTATTATCTTTATTCATTGTTTATTCTCATTTATATTAATTGAATAAAATAGAATAATGTATTTGACTATTACAAATTAATGAAATATTAAAAAAATCAATCATAATTTTATTTTCTATTTTGTAAAAAATGATTTTATTATTTTATTTCTTTGGTTTAAAAAAAATCATTTTTTTAAAAACCATAATTAATTCTTCCAATTGAAAAATAAAAGAAGAAATTTCTCTTTAGTTGAAACAATAAACATGAAGAAAAAATCAACAATAAGTTAATGATAAAATAAAAGAATAACATGAATAATAAACTCTTTCAATTAATAATTTTATAAAAAAAAAAGAAAAAACATTAAATTTTAGAGGGGAAATTTCAATATTTCTATAACTTAAGAACTAAACTTTGTTCGTTAGATATTGATGACTACAATCAAAGAAATGCTTGAAATTGTTGAAAAAGATATAGAGAAAGGAAGTAGTACAATTGATTTAATGAAAGGCATTATAGGTATTTTAAAGAAATTGTACAAAAAGATAGAACAAACTGATGAAGAGATTAAAACTGTACAATTAAAGAAAATTACTAAAAATACTCCTGACATAAGTGAAGATGAAACAACAAAAATTAATGACAATATTACACCAATGATTGCATGTGCAACAATTATTCCTCCATGTCATTCAGAAAGTGAACCATCATTAAATCCTGTTAATATTCAACTAACATCAATAAATTCTTCAATACAATTATCAAAATATATTAGCAGTAGTAAAGAATTAAATTCTATAGAAAAATATAAAAAAGTATTAAAAAGTTGGACTAATCAACGAGCGTTTAAAGTTCTTTATAATTCAAACTTTGAAGGATTAAGTTGTGAAGATTTAAATAAGAAAATTGTTGGAAAAAAAGATGTTATGGTATTTGTATTTGATAATGAAAAGAATATTTTTGGTGGATTTACAAGAAGTTATATTCCAATTTGTAAAAGAAATGATTTTGAATATACACAAGGAACAGAAGAATTTTTTGTATTTTCATTATATAATAATAAAGGATTTAATCCAATCAAAATAGAAAGAAAATTAGGAGATTTAGGATTTAGGATAAGTAATGACAATGACAATGTCTTTGGTATAGCTAACTGTTTCTCAATAATTACTAATGACAGATCATATATCATACCTTCATTTAATAAATATTATAATGATACTACCCAAATTGGTGCAGAATTATTGACTGGAAATTGTTATCCTAAGAGATTTAAAGTTAAGTGTTTAATAGCAGTTCAATGGTCTTAATTGAGAGTAGTTAATATTAATTTATATATTAATAATTTATTAAAGAAAAAGAAAGATATAAATGAATATTTTCTTCTGTTTCATTAAAAAAAGAAGATTGATATGTGCTGTATCATTTTAGATATAAAATAAAAAACAAAAAAATCTACAATTGACTCAATTGTTAACAACAAAAAAAGAGTCTCGTGTTGGAATAAATCTTCCTGATGGTGCAGAAGAAGATGCTATCTCAAACCCAAAAATTGTTGGCTTAAATTTATCTGCTTTTTTCATTCCTGAGACATTTAACATCAATAAATGAGGAAATGTCATTCCAAAATTTGCACCATCTAAATTGGAACCACAATAACCATCTGGAATAGAATATATTTCTCCACAACGAGGACAAAATAATTTTGTTTTACTTAAATAAGGAATATTACTTGTACCAATAGGTAAAACAGCATGATTCTATTATATAAATATTTATCCATTTAAATTTTAATTAAATAACCAAACATCACATAATACTCGTGGACATGCTCCAAACTCACCTCTTCTAAACTTTTCATACATCTTTTTTAAACCTGGTACAGTTACAATAAATCTTTGATGAATTAAACCATATAATAATTTGGTTTCAATACTTAACTGTCTACGAAGGTTTTTATCATAACTTTGTATTGTTGTTTTAGAAGAAATAATATCAAGGGCTTCTTCATAATGTTCAATAAATGCTCTTAACCCATATAAATTAAACTCATCTTCAATAAAACTTTGATCAACTTCACATAAAAATTCATTACCATCTAATGAACAATACAACTCAATCCAAGTTTCATCAAAAGGATTATCTAAATCTTCTGAAGAGTCATCACTGAAACTTTGGTTTGTTTGTCTTCCCCTCTCTTCCATTTCACATAAATAATTTTAAGTTTAAAAAATCTTTTATTAAATCAAAAAATGTTAATAAAACGATAAAAACCCTTTATACAACAAAACTTTAAAAAAATAACAAAAATAAGACATATTACTTTTTTATAAATAAAAAAGATATTAATCACTCTTAGCTTTTCCAAAGAAATTTTCTTTTATTTGAAGAATATGTGTTTCTGTTAAATATCTAATAGCCAACTGTCCTACAACAAGGGATAAACTAGAAAGAACAAGGCATGTAATCCATTGAATAATTCCAATTCCTGGGAATGGAGTTACTGAAAAGATTGGACCTGCAAATACAACAATGAGAGTTTGAACAATAATGGTCATTGAAACAATACCTACAAACATATAATTTGAGAAGATATTTTCAAATACATCAATTTCTCCATTAACTTTTCTTGAATTAATTTCATTAAAGATTTGACAGAAAACAAAGGCATTGAAAATCATTGTTTGAATAGTAGTAGTATCTTTTTCAATATCATTAATAGTATGCATTTTATTATCAGCACATTTATATTGTCCAAAATCACCATGGTCTATGTAAGCACATGGTGCATTAAGGAATGTAAGATATCTACCACAATACAATAAGAATAAAAGAACAAATAATTGATAAATGGCTTGTGTAACTATATTTCTAAGCATATTAATTGAAATGAGAGATGCTTTTCTTCCAAATGGTTTTCTATTTAAAAGAGATGGTGTTGGTTTTTCTGTTCCAAGTGCTAATGCAGCTAATGTATCCATAATCATATTTACCCATAACATTTGAAGTGCTTTTAATGGAGATCCCATCTTAGTAATAGCTCCAATAATACATAATGCAAGAGCAACAACATTAACAGTTAATTGGAATTGAAGGAA